TCCTTCTGTTAGTGACCTAGATCTAACCATCTTCAGTTGCTTCCATGACCTTCCCTCCATAAAGGTAAGAAGTGGGGATGTTCGCTGATGTTTACACAATGTTGAGCACAATTCATGACTTCTTAGATATTAACGCATTCCACACACACGTAGCAAGACCTAAACAACATTCAGGCTTAAGCTGACAAGTAACGTTCGCAGCATACATGCCAGCAATGAGCATCTCCAGGAAGAGAGAGTCTAACCATTGCCCCTTGACATTCAATGGCACTAGCGTTATTGAATTTCTCTCCACTATCAACTCCTTGTAAATTACCACTAGATGAGCAGCTACAAGAGTTCAGGAGTCCTACAGTGAGTAACTCTCCATCTAATCTGCAAAGCCTCTCCAAAATCTACATTGGTGGAATATCCCCCATTTGCCTCAATGCGTGCAGCTCCAACAACATTCAAGAAGCTTGATATCATCAGGACAAGGCAGTCTGCTTAACTAACATCACATCCTTGAGCAGTCAGTCCCTTCACCAACAAATACAGTGGTAGCAGTGATTGTCATCTCCAAGATGCACGGCAGAAATTTACCAAAGCTTCTTGGGCAGCACCTTCCAAACCCATAATCATTAATATCTAGGAAATCAAGGGCACTAGATACATGGGAATATCATCACTTGCAAGTTCCCCTCCAAGCCATGCTGTTACTTCACTTTCACTGGATCAAAATCTTGCAACTCACTAACAGCATTGCAGATATACCTGCACCAAATGAACCACAACGGTTTAAGAATGCAGCTCACCAGCAATTCTCAAACACAACCATGGAAGAGTAATAAATGCAGGCCTCAACGTTAGTTCACATTCAGTGAATGATTAACAAAAGTAAAATAGCCCGATTTTCCTTTAAATGAATTTACTGAAGGATAGATAGTTTCCATAACACGAACTTACTGTTGTGCTTCATGGGACATTTCACATTTACCAAAGGATGAGATGAGTCCTATAGTTAGGATCTCATCTAAAAACAGAACTTCTCACAATGGGGATCTGGAGGAACGCAGCAGGCCAGGCAGCAGAGGAGCAGGAAAGTTGACGTTTTGGGTCAGGACCCGAAACGTCAACTTTCCTACTCCTCTGATTCTGCCTGGCCTGTGTTCCTCCAGCTCCACACTATGTTGTCTCCAACTCCAGCCTCTGCAGTTCTTGCCATCTCTTCTCACAATGTAGCATACCTTCAGTTTTAGACTATGGTGTCAATCAAACTCAAAACTTGTAACCTAAAACTTAAGGCACAAGAAAAAATTACTCGGCAAAGAGAATTCTCCTCTTTTGTCAAAGTTGTTTTTACTAATACTTCACAGCAGTAAATTAAAAGTCCTACACACTGCGTTACCATGATAACACACGAATACCAAGACATTTGAAACAGATGTTTTCTTATCTAACAAGATTCTGGCCTAACTAAATTAACCCATTGAACAAAACTTCCCAACTCATCTACTACAGAAAGCCACCTTCTTAGATCTTCCAGCCAACAAGCTCAACACAGTAAATTAAGAGGCTACCACTAGCAGCACACTCTTAGGAACCTTAGCATTTTATGAATCCAATATTGAAAAATCTAATCTAGATGCTCAAAAATAATTGTCAAAATTATTTGAATGCTAATTAAATGCATAGTTAAAATAATGTCGCAAGCTTCAATTCATGAGTGGATGTCAAAGACACCTGTAGTATTTGTGAATAAGGCGTGGCAGAGCAAAACCCTATCCTTACATAACACCTTTAATGTAATAAAACATTCCAAGGTACTTCACAACAACAAGCAGAATTTGAGACCAAGCCACTTACAAGGGTGTTCCCAAATAAAAACAAGTACTGGAAAAACTCTACAGATATGGCAATATCAGTGGAGAGACAAAGAGTTAACATTTTGAGTCCAATATGACTCTTCGGAAGTCAGACATCTATAAGCTTAGGCAAAGATTTTAAGTCATTTGAGAGGCAGAGTTGTTTAAGAAAGGAACTCAACAGCCTATACAATTGGAGGTATAGGGTAGCACTTAAAATTTGGCGTGCTCATGAGACCAGAAATAGACGAGCACAGATATCTTAGAACATTGTGGAACTGGAGGACAGTATTGAGATTGGGATGTAGAAGATTTGCAAACAACGTTGAACATTCTAAAAATCGGAATATTGCTTGCCAGGAGTCAATGTAACTCAGTGAGCAGGTGAATGCTGGGTGAACTGGGATTCGTGCAAATTGGACACGGGCACAGTGGAGTGACATCAAGTTTTGAGGAAAGAATATTTTTGGGGAGGGGCAGCTAGCAGTGCATCAGAACAGTTAAGTTTAAAAGGAATGAAGACATGAGTGATGGTTTCAGAAAATGACAAGATGAGGCAGAGCCAAGTGAGATCACAGAAATGGTCATAAGTAGGTTAAGTGATGGTGCAGATGTGTGGTTGGGCGCACTTCTACATCAACACCTTTCACTTAAGATGAGCTTAATAATTTTCATGTATTAACAGCACGTAAGACAGCATTACATAGATTATGGCAACAAGCAGCCCTTGCAAATTGAAGACAGTGCAAATCAGGTGGTGAAACTCTTTTGCTGGTTGCAGTCATACCGAGCACAAAGGAAGGCAACCATGATTGTTGTAGGCCTATCATCATAGTTACAAGACATCAATACGAATACTCTAATAAGTGTCCTAGGCCAGTCATCTTTATCCGCTTCAACAACTGCCTTCCCTACAATACACATTCACAAATGGGGATGTTCACTGATAATTGTGTGCTGTTCAGCACCATATGCAACTCCTCAGATAGTGAAGCAATCTATAACCTAACAACACAACTCAGTTCCACTCCAGGCAAAGCAGCCTATTTAACTGACACTGTGTCACAGTATCACGGAACATTTTTTCCCATACGTTTATTTATCCTGAACTAGTCATGAATAAAGTGTCCACATAAAGATTACCTGAAATAAATAGGATGCACAGAATAAGAGCCATTTCAGATAATAGAAACAGCAAAACTTGTTAAAATAACTCTGCCACAAATTTTCAATCCTGAGTTTAATTTTTTGGAAAAGTTTATCCATTTTCTCAATGGAGATTTAAGCTTGAATCATGAGAGACAGGTTATCTTCAAGGTGATCTTTGCTGCAGGAAAAGGTGACCTCATAATAACATGTTTAAAACACTCCAGTGTAGAGAAAACTCAGCAGCAAAATGCAACTACTGCACAATAATATCAGATTCTAGAATATACAACACAAGTTACAGCATCCCCTTCGCAGCACCTGACTACTGTTCATCATTCTGAAGTATGGAAGGCTGATTCAACTTCAATAGTGGTGCTACATATTTTAGTGATTATACCACTGAACTAATTACTCAAAGGAAATGAGAGTTCAAATCCCACCACAGCAGTTTGATCTTCTGAAATTAGTTTTACAAACCTGGAAATAAAAAAAAAGTGTTTCCAATAGAAGTTGCCATTGAACTGTACGGTTGTCAGAAAAGCCCAAATGATTGATTATATCCCAAGGGCAGGAAATGTGCTGACTTTAATCATCTTCAGGGCATTTGGGAATCAGCAATAAATTCTGCCATAACACTCACCCTGAGAATTAACTCTTAACTTTACAAAAAGTGATAATTTCAGAACATGAATGCATAATAATAAATCATGCTGCCTTGCACTGTGGCTCACATACGCACAAATAAACAAGTTTCGGGGAAGACTCTATTGACATTTATAACGTTTAGCCAGAAAAAAAAAGTTGACGCTGATCTACTAGCTTAGCAGTACAGCATTTAACAGGACTGACAGCATTACAACTGAGTCTCAGTAGCTGTACAATGTGAACTGTCTTTAGATGAATGTGAACCACCAAATACATTCACGGCAATTTGCGGAAACGGCTAACAGTATTGCGTTACCAGTATCCTCGTTCACGAAGGGAGGACGTCAAGTGGAAAAAGAAAGAAAAACTCCCAGAAGACGCAACAGTTTCTGGAGCGATACCCTGATGCGTACAAGCACGCATGTTTGCGCCACAGGCGAGTAGCTTTGATTCGCTTGGCTGGGGTAATCCGCAACCAGCTGCGTCCTTTCACCAGGGGGACGGTTAGCCCAGGCGATGTACAGTAAAACAGTGACAGAGCGCTGAGGCGATCATTCAGCGGAAAAAAAATTGACAAAACACCACAAAAACGTCAACTCTCAAACTGCCTTCATCACCGTGAGTGGAATATTAGGAACAGGAGAAAGGGACGGAATGTTTTAAAATCCCCAAAACACCAGAAACAGGAATCACTATCACCAGAGAGAAACACGGTCTCAACAGACGAGGAGAGAGCGGTGGAGGGGTGTGTGTGTGTGTGTGTGTGTGTGTGTGTGTGGGGGGGGGGGGGGGCGCGTTGGTGAAGTGTCGGACAGCAGATACTAAGCACTTTAGGTCCTAAACAAAGTTGGCCGGCGTGCCTGCCTCCTCCTCCACTGTGCGGGGGAAACGGTGCATCTTCTGGCCGGCACCCCGGGGACAGGGCTCACTGCAAAAAGACATAAACAAACATCCCGAGGATCAGGTCAGGCCGGGCCGGGCCGAGCCGAGCCGAGCCGGACGGGAGCCGTCTCCGGAAGGTGGGCTGACGAGCCGGGCTCACGACCTGGGCTGTGGAGCCAAGCCGCACTCCCTGTCCTCACCAGCCGCCCCCGCACTGAGCCAAACGGCAGCTCCCGGGGCGGAGAGTCCCGGCCCGGCTGACGGCCGACACTCGGGGAGCTGGAGTCACAAAAAAAAACACTAGGGAGCAAACAATAGGGACCGCGGGCCATACGAGCAGCTCCTCCCGGACCACCGCCGCCACTTGACCGTCTGGGCCGCCTCCCGTCCTCCGCGGCAGCAGCTCCGGGGGCCGTGGCAGCGAGGCCAGTGCTCGGCAGCGGGCGGCGGGCAGCGACAGCCCTCCAATCGGACACTCACCCTGTCACAACAGGCGCCATCTTCCACAAACTCTCAGCCAACTCCAACTCTCGCGAGACTCCGCCCCATCCCTTTCACCCCTCTTCACCCGTGTTGGAGGGGGAGGGAAAGGGGGAGCGCGAAACGGAGGGAATATCTCGCGAGATCCTGCGGTGGGTGTATCGCGAGGTTTCACAGGGTTTTGGGGAATAAGAGTGAGAATGAGTCAGGAACAGTGAGAGGTAAGATAGAGTAAGAATATAGATATAGTTATAGTAGTAGTAAGAATAATAATAATAATAATAATAAGGCAATGAGCCAATGACAATGACAATGAGAATGAGAATGAATAAGAGTGAACTTCCCAGAGGACAAATAACGGTCGACCACGTTACTGTGGGTTTGGAGTCACATGTAGGCCAAACTGGGTAAGAATAGCAGTTTCCTTCCCTAAGGACGTTGGTGAATCAGATGGGTTTTCACGACAATCTAACAGTGGCGTAACGGTCATCATTAGGTTCTTAATTTCAATTTTTTTTTTCTGTGAATTAAAATTCTCCATCTGCCATGGTGGGATTTGAACCCCAGACCCCAATAACATCACCTGGGTCTCTGGAATAATAGTCTAGCAATAATAACCACAAAGCCATTGCCTTGCCTAATTAGTTGGTAGTGAGAATGACAAGGAGTGAGGAAAAAGAGACAGTGACAATGAGTGGGAAAGAGAGGGAAATAGAAACAGAGAGAGACAAGAAAATGTGGGAGGAAAATAAGAAAGTGAGGATGAGGGAGAGAAATGGAAAATGACAGAGAAATAGAAACAGTGAGAATAAGAAGAGTAGAAAGTGAGAGAAAAAGAAATGGCGGAAGTGAGAACGTGAAAACAGGGACAATAGGAATGAAGCAATGCAATAGAAATAGCAGAAATATGGAAGAGAACTAAAAACTGAGAATAAAAGAAAAAGAAATGGGGTGAGGGAGTGAGAATAACTATGAGAAAAAGTAGAAGCAGAGAAATAAGAACATTGGAAAAGAAACAGAGTGAATACTAGGAGCAGTGATACTGAAAGAGTAATAAGAACAGAGAATGAGAAAGAAATAGAAGCAGTGAGTGGAATCATATAGGGACCTAAACGATGCAAGCTACGGCAGGATTTGTTGAAGAACCATGAGAAGTCCGTCAAGGCCTATTGTCATCAGGAGCAACTTGCTGCATCTTTTATGCATTTGTGGAGTGCTGAGAGAAGCAGCAAGTTGCCAATTAAGGGGAAATTACAACTTGTTACTGATGCTACAACTCGTTTCATTAATATATAGCTTCCTATCTGACCAAATGTGCCAACCAAGCTGGAGATCGAGAATTCTTGATGTGGATATTAGAACAGATACCTGGCTACTTTAGCTCTTCTCTGGTTGTAAGGAGCCTCCATGTTGCTCACCATGCAACAGTATCTCAAGGCATGATCCATATTCACCAACTGTACATATGCCTGTATTTAACACTTGCCAACTGTCATGGTACCTCTGATTGACTTGCAGGCAACTTAGGAAGCACAAACTTGCATTGTAGGGCATTCTGGCAACCAACATTGAAAGGTTGCTGCAAGGGCTCTTTGCGTGCAGAGACAGAAACCCAGTTATGGATTGGACCAGACTGAGTTTCAGGGCTGCTTGCTCTCTCAGCACTCACTCACTTAGCACCTACCTGCACCCTTGCAGTATCTGTGCATTGCTTTGCCGTGCCTGGTAGCAAATTGCAGCTTCACCCGGAGCTAAAGGCTATCAGTACTGCTTTATAGGCATTCTCTTTGTGTAGACACTCCGACTAGAGCTTATGTCTGGAGATGGATGTTGGGAGAAGATTAATGTTTGTGAACGATGCACAAGGACATTAATCTAACACCTACTGCATATGCCAGCTGCCTGTGTGGCAAATGCACTGCACATTTATTCAACCAATTGGGCGGAGGAAAGGTGTTGGGGGGAGGTAGCTGATAGTCAGGGGTTCCCCATATCATTAGTAAGGTGCACAATCTGCACACAGTTCAGAGGCTTGGCCACAGTCAGTTATCCTCGTGTGTTGCTCACAGTCAGGATATCTGTCCGATTACAGTCCAGGGAATGGACAAAGGTCAGTCATGTATGGCCAGCACCGGCAGTTGGGAATTGTATGTTGTTATGCAGGGAGGTAAAGTTCATTATGGTGGGTCTCCACGTGGGGGTGATGGATGGAGATGGGTTTTGGGATAATATGAGCTGAAAGGGGACATGGATGTTTGGGGTCTGTGCAGGGGAGGAGTGGCACAGTACTGACTATCTATTGTAAGTTGTGTTTCCTACCATCACTTGCCTTTCTCTAGATGCAAAATGCAACTGGAAAATTATAAAGGTAGTACCCTGTGGATATAGGGTCTGTTATGGGATCTCTCAGTTATACACCTACAAATGCATCAGAACAGTGAGTGATGCCATCTGTGTAAGATCACACTGGTTCATTTCCCAATTACACGGTCAGAGCTGCAGCCTGGGCAGTAGGATTCAGAAACATAGCTGGCTTCCTACAGCTACTGGGTGCCATTGACCGCAGACACATTGCATTGCAAGAGCTGTATCACATCTCTACAGAATTCATCAAGAGGAAAGTGCACCATTCAATTAATGTCCCGATGACCTATGATCATCGTTACCACTTCCTGGAGGTATGTGCCCACTATCCTGGCAGCTGCCATGACTCCTGCATCCTGGTGCACTCCAATGTGCCTAGTATGTTGTGAGGCCCCAGGTGCCTTACCAGTCTGATTAGATCTATCCGTTACAACAATGGCTCATGCACCATTGCACAGCACACTAACTGATGAGGAGTACAGAGACGATGTGCTCATGCTTTGACCAGGGTCATGATAGAGCAGACAATAGGGCTGCTGAAGGTGGTTCCACTGCTTGGACTAGTTGGTGAAGGAGTCCATCAGCATAGTCTGGACAGAATGTGCTGCATCATCCTGGCATGCTGTGCTATGCACAATTAGAGTAGACAGCAAGACAGTGTGATAGATGCTGAGAAACTTTGAGAATGGGAGCAATCTTCCAAGAAGGAGGATGAGGACACTGGGGAGGAGGAATCTCTCCTTGTCCATGAGAGAGCTCAGCTGTGTCTGTTGCCATAATCCAGACAGGACTTCCTTGTCACCCAGTTCCAGTGGATGAGGGCTAGGTGCAGCAAGCCATCATAGAGTTATACAGCACGGAAACAGATCCTTTGGTCCAACTTTTCCACACCGACTGGACATCTCAATCTGACCTAGTCCCGTTTGTCAGCATTTGGTCCATATCTCTCTAAACCCTTCCTAATCATGTACCTATCCGGACACCTTTTAAATGTTGTCATTGTACCCATCTCCACCACTTCCTCTGGCAGCTCGTTACACACACGCACCACTTTCTGCGTGAAAAAGTTACCCCTCAGGTCTTTTTTAAATCTTTCCCCTGTCACCTTAAACATATGTCATCTAGTTTTGGACTCCCCAACCCTAGGAAAAAGACCTTGGCTAATCACCCTATCCATTTTCTGCACCCTCTCAACTTTAACAATATCTTTCCTAGAGAAGGGCAACTAGAATTGTACACAGTATCCTAAAAGTAGCTTCACCAATGTCCTGTAAGCTGCAGCATGACATCCCAACTCTTATACTCAATGTTCTGACCAATGAATGAAATGTAAAATTGCTGATGGTTAAGGTGCCAGCTTTTGATTTGCATGTGGAGGCATCTTGCAGGCTTTATTCTGTTTTTGTGTTTGCCTTTGGTCGCTGTAATAAAAGCTCTTGTTTGGAATTTTCTGGCCTGACTGTATGTGATGTTCCCCTACTGGACAATGACAAACTGTATGTGTCGTGTGGGCATTAGGGACAGGGTAGTGGTAACCTAGAAATAGTGCTTAGATGGGATGTAGCTAATGACAGTGTGACCTGGTGAAGAAACAGTGAATAGTGTGAAAGAATGCAATGTATTTGCAAGAGAGTGTCAGCCATGCCCACTATATGCCCTTGAGCAGTGTAGCTTTGGGCTGCTGTGCCACTGCATTGCCAGTGAGAGATAACGCTAGGTGGCCAGCACTTGGACCTAGTGGTATTATCGCTAGACTATTAATTCAGAGACCCAGCTAACATTCTGGGAACTCGGGTTCAATTCCTGCCATAGCAGATCAAGGAATTTGAATTCAATAAAAATCCGGAATAAAAATCTATTGATGACCATGAAAGTATTGTCAATTGTCAGAAAAACCCATTTGGTTTGCAAATGTCCTTCAGGAAAGGAAAATGCTGTTCCTACCTGGTCTGGACTGCATGTGACTCCAGAACTACAGTGGTTGACTCATAACTGCCATCTGAAATGTCTGAGCAAGCCACTCTGTTGTAACAATTGCTAAAGACTGTCAAAAAAAAATGAAATCAGACAGACCATCTGGCATCAAACTAGGCACCAGAAATGACAACAGCAAAAACAATGCTGTTGACCCGTAAAGTCCTCCTTACTAAAATCTGGGACTAGTGCCAAAACACGGAGAGTTCTCTAACAGATTAATCAAGAAACAGCCTGACATAGTCATACAAAATCAACCGTACAATGTCCCAGACACCACCATCACCATCCCTGGATATGTCCTGTCTCACTGGCAGGACAAGTGGCAGCACAGTGAGTTACAGTTGGGAGGGAGTTGCCCTGGGAGTCCTTGACATTGACTGTCGACCCCATGAAGTCTCATGGCACTAGATTTAACATGGGCAAGGGAACCGATTGTCACATATCATTCTCCCTCGATAAGCGTATCAGTGTTTCTTCATGTTGAATAACAGTTGGGGGAAGGACTAAAGGTGGTAAGGGTGCAGATCGAATTTTAACGTCCACAACCAAGAGTGGTTTGGCAGCAGCGCTACTAACTGAGCTGGTTGAGTCCTAAAGCTAGTAAACTGGGTCTGCAGAAGATGGTGAGGGAGGCAACAAGAGGAAAAATCATATGTAATCTCATCCACACCAGTCCTCCTGTTGCAGATGCAACTGTCCATGACAGTAAGAGTGATCACTGCATGGTTCTTGTCAAGATGGAGTCACGTATTCACA